AAAAAAAAACAATCCATAAAGTTGCTAAGATTTATGCAAATATTTGGCAATAACTGCCGTTTGCAATACACATTCAAACGACTTTTTGTTGGCCTATTAGGGTTCGCTCAGGTCTGTAGGGTATTCAATGAAAGCCTCAAGTTCGATGCTGTGATTAGTTTGGCAATCGAAAACGGAAGCGCGATAATTAATGCAAAACGACGATTGTTAATTTGTAAATCTGTAAAGCAACAAAAACAGGTAGTCGGGCATATAATGCATAAATATTAAGCAAAGATCGTTAAAAAAAAAAAAACTAGAGGAAAAAAAGCTAAAACAAAAACAACACAAACCAAAAAGGTTCTCAGCTTATTGTCAACGCCTTTTGGGGCTGTGTGAATATTCTGTTCCTGAAACTTTCAACGCTAACAATGCGACCTTATATATATACATTTGTATATGCATAGACACACAAACAGATATGACGATATACATATACATATACATATACATATATATATAAAGCAGATATATATATATATTTCTTGACTTTGCGTTTTTCGTAATGGCCGCTAAAAATTCAAATCGACCAACCAACTGTAATTAAAGTTGAAGAGGCAGCCCACCGTGGGAAGTGCTGCACTTGTTTTGTTTAAGTCGCACACAAAGAAATGTTCACACGACTTGGCAACATTTTCCCAAGCCGATTTAAATCGACTATTCGCCCAACCAAGTGTAGAGGGCGGGCCTTCCAGGGGGTAAAGTCTTCTAACTCTTTTGCTCTTTCATCATTTTTGGTAACTGCTAGATAGAGCAGAAGAAATATGTTAAATCATTGCAAATTTTGAACTAATTTTTCGACTGACATTGTTGATGCTTGTTTTTATTTTATTTTTTTTTTTATTTAAATTTAGGGTTTCTCTTAGGCTTACAACTTTCATATTTTCAGTTATCTTACAAAATTATATGCTTTGTATATAAATCTATATATATATATATGTCTGGTCTAGAGCTGGGCTTATGTTGAGCTTAGCTTAAGTAAATTAAGCGTGAACAATTCTTGCGATATATAGATCTTTTATAAACTAACATGTCGCAAACATTTGACAAAAATAATTACTCAGGCACAGCGCATAGGCCCAGTACATACATCATCTAAATGTATATTTAACTAGAGTTACAATTCTTCATGTCAGTGAGCTCTTTCGAGTTATGTTATGTACAGTTATGTTTTCAGTATTTGTAGTTTACTTTAGTGTTTTTCTTTTCGTTTAGCTTTTATACATACATCTATTGGTTCCGGCTAGCACTACAAACAATCATGTAAATATTGGTCAACTTGAAATTGATTTTCCATTCGGTTTGTTCGTTTTGCATTCAGGACAATCGCTTTCTCGGAAGGAATGAAAAAAAAAGCTATGCGAATAAATGATAGAGAGATGTGTTGGGTGTTGCTTAAGAACTAGGT